AAAAAACGTTTAGCATGGATGCCTTTTTGGTCATTTAAATAACTTAGCAATAGCAACTAGCAATTTCAAAAGTTGACTGACTTTCACACTTTCCATAGTAGAATATAGATTGGTTTAGCATCCACATATATAACTCTACATATATTGAACAGCTTTAAATTTTAATTTATAAAGAAAGGACAAGATGATGCTACTTGCTATTATTAATTCTAATTATCTCTCTATTATTTTAATGTCAGTGTCCGGTCACTGCAAAACAAAATGAACCTCTTTCCAGTTGAAGACCTTAAAAAGTAATTTGCCTAATGTTCTATGGCATTAACACGCATGGTCACGTTTCTATTCCCAATATTTTTATTAAATCAACTATAGAGTAATGGTACACATTGTTATCATATCTCATACAGACAAAGGAATACAATGTTGTTGGCATACTAGAAAACGTTTTCACTCATATGTTACTATATATATATATATTTTATTCTTAAATGGAAATACTATATTATTTAATTATGCTTTATTTTTTATAAAAGTTTTATTTTAGGCATTGCTAATTCAAACATTTATAGGGAATTTTCCTTAAGGCAGTGAGTGAATCATCTTTCCTCTAGCTTCTTAGAGTTCTAGCACATTGGAGACCCAAGCCTTCTTGTATATTTCATGTAAAACTCAAATCAATCCAATGGAGATTTTTCTGTAAAAGGAGTACCAGATTAAGGTCACATTACTATCAAAAAGAGACAATAGGCCTAAAATGGAGTCACTTGTGCTAAGCCCCATATCAGCAAACCATGGCTCAATACCTAACTTAATTGCAGACTCTTTCAGGAATGAGACTTTTAACCAGTCAATCTGGAGGTACCTGGTTAGCACTAAGAGGTAATCTACCTGATAGACCTCTTCTGTCCCCATAGGAAGGTGACCTTGCCTGAAACAACCTCCTCTTTCCTTGTTTCTCTCCCCCTTTCTACCGGAAAAGCCTTCCATTTTGTACAGCCCCTTGGAGCTCCTTTGATTTTGCCAGATGGGATGCTGCTGGATGCATAAATCATGGAATAAAGCCAATAAGATCTTCAAATTTTACTCAGTTGAATTTCATTTTTTTAAAATTTAATTTAATTTTATTATGTTAGGTTAGTCCCCATACAGTACATCAATAGCCCAACTGTGGAAAGAGCCGAGATGCCCTTCAAAAGACGAATGGATAAAGAAGATGTGGTCCATATATATAATGGAATATTACTCAGCCATCAGAAAGAATGAATATCCAACTTTTACATCAACATGGATGGGACTGGGGGAGATTACGCTAAGTGAAATAAGTCAAGCACAGAAAGACAATTATCATATGGTTTCACTTATTTGTGGAACATAAGGAACAGCATGGAGGACATTAGGAGAAGGAAGGGAAAAAGGAAGCGGGGGAATCGGAGGGGGAGAGGAACCATGAGAGACTATGGACTCCAAGAAACAAACTGAGGGTTTTAGAGGGGAGGGGGGAGGGGGGATGGGTTAGCCCGGTAATGGGTATTAAGGAGGGCATGTATTGCATGGAGCACTGAATTTCATTTTATAACATTACTAAAAGACTCCAAATTCTTGAAAGTTCTCCATTCTCCAAAATCCCATTTCCAAATTTAGCCAAGACAGATTCTATAATATAAAAGTGCTATAAAATATAAAGTGAAATGTTTTCTGTGATATTGTGATTTATAATAAGAAATAAACATTTAGTCTTTGTCCCTGATTCTGGTACAGAGCTCCCTAAAACCCTTGAAATTACCTTAGTGATGAGAGCACAAAGGTGTCTTTTTGTAATACTGATGAGGTAAATTTTGGACTTCACCTAAGGACGGGGTTCGTTGCCAGGAGAATCAACCACGTGATTCAGTTCCACCTCCCTGACCTCCATGGGAGAGAGGCTGGGGGCTGAATCAATAGCAATGACCAGATATTTGATCAATCATGCCTATGTAATGCAGCCTCCATAAAACACAAAAAGATGGGTTCAGAGAGCTTCTGGATTGGTGAACATGTGGAGATTGGGGGAGAATGGCTTGCTCAGAGAGGGCCTTGAAGCTCCACACCCCTGCCCCATGCCTTGCTCTGTGCATCCTTTTTCTCCGGCTGTCCCTGAGTTATATCCTTTTATAATAAACTGGTAATCTAGCAAGGAAACTGGTTTCCTGGGTTCTGTGATGAGAGAGAGGGGTGGTGGGAACCTCTAATTTATATGATTAATAGCCAGTCATTCAAAAGCACAGGTAACAACCTGGACTTGTGATTGGCATCTGAAATGAGGATAGTCTTGTGTAATTAACCTGTGGAATTTTTCACTACCTCCGGGTAGATATTGTCATCAGAATTGAGCTTAATTTTAAGACACCCTGTTGGTGATCAGAATTGAAATTGGTATCAGAATCTTTATTCGGCAAAATGAATCCATAATGAAAGACAGGTTCTTCACCTTATAACAACTTTTTCATTAACTAAGAACAAGAACTCGTAAGTATGGCTACTATGACTCTATACGGAAACAAACGTCTAACACAAAACTTAGGTCAAGAAGGATAGTTTTGGCATGTGAAATGCTGCAAGAATTTTCAGTGCTCATTTGAAAAGTGGCATGAAAAAGAAACTGGGCAAGCAACTTGTGTTTACCCTTTTGTTTACTTAAGAAACCCAATTAAATGATTTGAAAGTGTTTGGAAACATGCCGTTTGCCAAATGTTCCATCTGAAGCCCTGAAATGGTCCTGCCATCTTTGGCTTCTTCATAACTTCTAGAACAAACACAAAATAAAATAATGACATTTCTCCTACAAAGATACTTTGTAACAACACTAACAATCCTAAAATAAAAACACTTCTGGAAGAAAGTTCTTACAATTACAATGTATTGTATGGGTGAATTTTAATGTAGCCTTGGCAGCCACATGAATCTATTGAGTTATTAAAGCAGGTCAAGGGAGGCACATACCAGGCAGCTTTACACTTGTGACTGGAAGCTTTAACCAACTGAATAATTGAGCACGGCACATTCCAAGGAAATGAGGAGGAAGGCCAGCCCAGGGATAATAGTGGTAAGTATGCACGGGAATTCAAGAAAAGTAAGCCTGACCTCATGGCCTCCCAAGTGGGACCATCAACACTTCTTTCTTCCTCAGGTAATCACTTCCCTCAGAGTGAAGGACCACTTTCGCAGAGTCCTGTCTTCATTTCCCTCCTTTATCTGTCCTGATCTCTGAGTTTGGTAGAAACGATGAGCTTCCATTGCCTAAGTATTGAAGCTTCTTAATGTTATAAAGTCAAGGAATTTTCTAAGTGGAAAAAACTCAGAATTTGACGTTCCTAATTCTCAGTTACTCAGAGGAGGATACCGTGGTCCCCAAGAATATGGGGACCGTCAAGGACCCCAAAGTCAATAAGTGGCAGAACTCATTTCTGAGTCCGTTAGAACTCATTTTCCCTGTCCGCTGCTTGGCACTTTTTCCCTTGGGCCACGGCAGCCTAATCGTGCTGATTTGTTCAGTCACATAAGGACTTTATTCTAAGTCCTACTTTCTGGAGTTCTCAAAATCTTTGTGAGCATTAACAGACTTACAGAAATTTTCACTAATCTTTTCTACTAAGTACAATTTTCAGAGATGATCATAGCCTGTCAATCTAGTAATTCTGTAATCTTTTTCTTTCCAATTTTCTAAGGACCAAAGGTACCCTGATTTTCATATGAGTTTTTTTACCTTCCATACTTAATCTTGCAATTAAGAAAGCAGCCATTTCTTTTAAAAGGAGTCTCCCTCCCTTTTTAAATCAATAATATGCTAATATAAATTTCTAACTCAAGAAAATACATGTGGTTTTACTGCAATGTTTTCAAGGTGAGAAGAAATTCTCTCTGTAAGAAGCTATGTATCATAGGCTTTAGGATACTAGGAGATGAGACTCAGGAAGCAATATCCATTTTATGAATATTTGTTTAAGTCATTATCTCAGTGACTTGCTCTCGGTGTGTAACAAGTGATTTAGAAAGAGTTGGCCGTAAGGTGTAAAGGCATCTTTGAGGAAGAGCTCTTTCATGTGTGTATATGTGCATGCATACTATTGCCAACTATTATTTATTAATTATTTCCATGGCAGATTTGGGCCTAAGACTGCACTTCATTATAAAAGCAAACAGAAGGGGAAACTGAGCCATAAGGCAAACAAGCAAACAAAATGCTGTATTCAAACATCTACTCCTTAATAGTGTGAAGGCAACATAGCACATGATTGCCAGGAACATCTCTTTCTGTACAAATGTTCTCTTTCCCCCACAAGTTTGCTCCAGACAGAAAATTCCTTTTTGAAGATTAAGAATAAGCCCACGCCAAGAAAAGCAAGGAAATTCAAATTTAGGGCTGACACTGCAACCTCCTTAACCCCACCAAAGTTCCCTCACAAAGACTCAAAGGTCCTCCTTGCATGGCTGTCTTGACAGGCAAGGGTGTGGTCTGAGCATACCCCACTCACAGGTTCTGGGTGTGTCCCCTGACACTCGAGTAAGGGATTGTGCTCTGAGCTGCGCTGGCCTTGGCGGGGAGGCCGTATCACCCCCACACACCTGCCCTCCTGCCATCTGGGCATCGGTCGCAGCAGGGCTGGTACACTGTCAGATCTCCCTGATTGGGCCTTGGGGAAGAGGACATTAGAGTAAACGGAGAGGCCAAACGTGAAGGCTTGGGTTTCTCAATTTGGATCCAAATTCGAGCCAAGACAATTTAACCGAACACCCACGGAGTTTTCACAGGCTGACAGCCAGTAGAGGACAATTAGCAATGATAAGAAGCTGGAAGGAAATGGGCACAAATTCTCCCTGAGTCCTGATGGTTTTGAAGTATATGATTCTCTGTCATGGACTAAGACCTATGAGTAACATTTCTCGTGTGAAAAGAAGCAGAGAGTTTGAGAAATGGAATTACCCAGATATGCTGCTATTTTAACTGAAAACAATTCTGATTTGAATGGCATGCTTGCTCACTAAATGACTGAGTGAGCACGTGATGGGAGGCAGGTTCTTACAAATTAGTTTGTGAAAGCCAGGACCCACCAAGGATGGCACCTAGCAGCAACCTGCTTCTCCTTCTTCCAATTTGTTGTCTAATTACAAAGATGTAGAATGAGCAGCAGAAGCCTTGCGTGTGGGCCACAGAACACCTGTAATCCAGCCCCCTTACGCTAAGGACAGAAGAGCTGTGTTCTAGATTTTAAGCAAATGGACATTCTCCCTCCATTAAATCGAACGTTCTCCTCAGCAGTACCCATGATTTGAACAAAGCTTAAGGAGAAAAAAGAAAACCTTAACATCTGTGTGGGCTAGGAATGTAAGTCAGTGGGTGGATTCTGAGCACTGCTAAAGTGATTGTGAGGAAAAAAAACATGTTTATTTGTTAAAATGGAAACAATCAGTAATGACAAGGGAGCTGAAATATTTAGACAAAGCTGTAATGGAACCCAGAGGACATTTTTTGAGTTCTCATGAAACAACGTTCTTCCCTATGAAATAGTATACATATTTTTATAATTCCTTTACAGGGTACTCAAATAGATATACATACATATATATACACACACACATATTATATATATTATAAGTATACACACTGTATGTCTGTATATATATTATATATGTACAAAAATATATTTACATATATCATCAAAAACATTGTTCCAGGTTTGTTCTTCACTGTTATTTGTGGTGTGGCTTGCTTATGCCATTAGGCAAGATACATATCTCTATGTACATTAGTTGCCTGGGACATTATAAACACTTGTCTTTAACATGACTATCACCAGGGTAACCTGATGGTATTCTAAGTTGGGAGAGACACTAATTTTAAACTAAAAGCAGGCTAAAAGAGCCCTAGTTACATGGGATTAAAAATACATTTTGGCTCAGATTTTTTAAAACTCGTTTTTAAGTATACCACACTCGCTGCCAATTTCTGTTTGTGTAAGTCATTTCCAATCAAACATGATACCTTTGGTTGAATAACAGTATTTACAGAGGACCTCTTTTCTTCCCTTCCTGATGTACCCCCTTTCCATACCTCACTGCAGGGGTGCTTACCCAAGAGGAACACTTGCATAACTATAAGGCGCCCTGGTGAGATGTTCAAGCTCATGAACCAGTGGAAGAACTAGCAATAAAATCCAGAGCTCTACGACTTCACATGAGAATATCGCATGCCCCGCTGCTATGATATCAAAAGGGCTATGAAACTCCAGTCTTCTCCCGACAGTGCTGGCTGGGTTCGATGAAACTGAAAAGTCATTTTAGGCTACAATTTAAAAGTAGGGGGATGTTGGCCCATAGGAAAGAATAGAGTATTTTTTGGACCTCAAATCTAAGTTTCTGTTCATGCAATTTACCAAAAGACTGCTGTTCTTAGTGTAAAACTGGTGTCATCTCATCTAATATGGAGTACACGGCTCTCATCACCACAGTGCAAACTCAATTATGAAAAACAAGCCTTTGCATAAACAGAGTTTAAACCGATTTCAAGCATGTGTCAGTAACTAGTAGTATAGAATTTTGCTCAACTTTAATCAAAATGGCTTCTAGACACTGTGTCTGTAGGTCTCATTTTACAGTGACAACAATAGCTACTATTTATTGACCAGCCACTGTATACCAAGCACTGTGCCAAGGGCATTATATATATCTCATTTACCTACAATGATATTACTATTGTATGAAAACTTAACCTCTCTTCATGGTGAAAAGCCTAAAATAATCGGCCTCTGCACATGCCTCTGTTAGCTGGAATTTGGAGCATGAAATTCTAAAGATCCTTTTCTTATAGGGAATGAAGACTGTCCCATTAGATTAACTTCTCCCTCTGTAAGCCTCTTGGTTCTCTTGGCTGAATTTCAGTGAGTTCAACTGAACCAGACAATGGTATTAGCCTCTATTAGGTAAAATGCAATATGGAACTATCTTACCTTTCCCTACATTAGTGCCAGACCACCACCCCTTACCTCAAGTCCTATATTTATCTGGAAAGCTTACAATAAAGCATGAACCATAGACATACTGAGCTAAGCAACATTTGTATCCCAGAGACCAGTAGTTGAGATTTTAAACACTGTTCCACTTATTAGAATGGACCCCTAGCCATGCTTCATATGAAGAGTAATATAGTGAGCATGAGGGCATTCTAGCTTCATGCTTCTTTTTATAATTTGGCTAGAATTTGTCATTTTTGAACCAATAGTAATACTATTGGCATTATCTTGTATATCTATAAATTTGAAACTTAGCATTATTGGACAGTTTGGAATGATAATAAATATCCTTGCAAACTTTATTGAAAAAATGTTGATATAATTAAGAAAAGGACATTTACTACAAGGCCAATCTGCAAATATTTTAATGTTCGTTTCAAGTCACAAGGGCTTGCCAAACTGGCTTTTGGAATTGAAGTCTGTTATTTGTAAAGAAATAATGCCATTACCTAATTCAAGCTCACCATGATCTCCATTATGTTTTAAATTATGTTATATCCCATAATCTGTTATATTACTATAAGTAACTCTAGTAAAACTTTATTATATTATTCCACATACTTACCATCATGGCCTCAAATTTGAAAACACCAACTAAACGCTTAATAACAATATCATCCACACAGAGTGACTTCTTTTATTTGATGTTTAATAAAATAAACTTCTACAAATATTGTGAAAAGATTTTCTTATGGACTGTTGGTATTAAGCAAACAAAATTACAAATGGTTTAATTATCACCTCATAAGATTTGCTAATCCCCAAGAATTATTTGGGCTAAAGCAACTTAATACATCAAAAGCACACTAATTTAAGGAACTGGAAGACTGACGGGAATTGATGAAAAATACGAATTACAGGATGTTTCTTTAAAACCTTAGTTATAAAACCTTAAATGAAATGTTGACGAGAGAGGCTTGCTTTAATAAAGGGATAGGAATGTTTGGTAATTAGCATGTTAACTATTTTGTTATAAAAATGTGATTTTTTAACCTCATAAAAATATGATATTTATGGTGTTAGTTATAGTGGTAATTCACCCAACATGCCTTTTTTCACAGGTAAAGAAAAAAGCTTCAGTGTAGATCTAAAGTATGACAAGTTTCAAAGAAGGGCAGGCTAAGTTAATGAAAAACGGTATACAAAATGCTTTATAAAGCAATTAAAATGTTAGTAGTTTTAAAACTTGTATTACTCTAGTAGTAGTCTCTTAACCATCAAGCATTTTTTGTTCAAATTGAAAAAACATACCTGTACAGCCAGTTTTTCCTTTTTTGCCTGAATATCCCATATCACAGTGGCAGATAAATGAGCCTTTAGTGTTTTCACAGGTTCCACTTAGGCAGATATTTGGATTCAGGTCACATTCATTGACATCTGCAAAATATAAATATTATTAATACATAAAACTATTTGATACCATTGAAAACTTTTTTCCTGAGATAAAACAACTATGACAAATAAATTGGAAATTAGAAAATAAATTAGAAAATTTTTTACTCAAAAAAAAAAAAGTGTCATATTTACAGAGCTCAATTCATACTTGCCTTCTATCCTGCAGGCTAACCAGGTCGACCGGCTCTTTATCTGGGCCATGAGCAGGAGGTCAAGTAAGCAAATAAACTGACTGACTCTAGGCTGCACTTAGAGCTTACTGATGTGACAGTCTAGAAAACTTTTTAAAGCAGCATATTCTGTTGCAAGATAAAAATTTTAATTCAGTCTGCAACTGCCAACATTTTAGTTTCCAATATTTAAAAGAAAGGATAGATGAACTAATAGTCTTAGTGCAGACAGTTACAAACTTCACTTCTTTCCCAAATTTAAAATTATCTATTTTTTATGACATTCACTTCATAAATATTCGGTAAAGGTTTTCTGAATCTTCAGAAATTTAAATATTTTCAATTCTAGACTCTTATTTCTGGCCAAGATGGAGTAATAGAGATGGAATTTATTTTCCCGTATGAAACACCAGCAAAAGGACCTCAGAGGCAACAGAAGATGGTGTTGCCTGACAGAAAGAAAACAAGCTAGGTGAGTTCTATGAATGTCCCAGATTACGGTGTAGGGACAGTTTTAAGGCCATGACATAGGGAAGGGGATGACAGATGGAGCTGGGTAGTGTCCCAGAGTTGAGGGGATAACACTGGAAGTCCTGGAAGGCCGAGGTAGCCAGAGTTTACAGGGCAGAGTAAAGGACAGAAGAAAGCTGCAGAGAGAGAGAGAGCTCTGGGGACCTGCAAAGGGTCCCTGTCACATATTCAGATGAGTGGTGATCAATGCATTCATGTAAGGAAACTACTCAAAACTAGGGGAAATACCACACAAAAGAATTAGAGGGAACAATCATCAGAGCTCACAGAAGGCCCAGAATTGTGCCTGTTCCTACTGGTCAGACTGGAAAATCTCATAATTCAGAAGGGTCTTGCCTCAGTCATGGGGCAAAATAAGCCTCAGAGTAACTGCTGCTTAAAAGCATAAAAACAAGACTTTGAAAGGACCCATCTGTTTCCAAATAACTTATCTGGGTTCCAGAATAAAGCCCAAGAATATTTCTAGGGCTACAAAAATATCTAGCAACTAGTAAGTCAAAATTTATCATGTCTGGCATCCAGTCAAAAATTACCAGGCATTCAATGAGGCAGGAAAATATGACCCATAATGAGGAAGAAAGTCAATTTACTCAAATGACCCAGAACTGACACAGATGATGGAATTAGTAGACAAGGACATTAAAGCAGTTATTATAACTCTATTTAATAGGCTCAAAAAGCTAGGGGAATGATTGGACCTATCAAGTAGAGAAGGGAAGATGTGAAAAATGACCCAAATCAAATTTTTAGAGATGAAACTACAATGTCTAAGATTACAAAGATACTGAATGGGATTAGATATTGCGGAAGAAAAGTACAACAAATTTGAAGACACAGCAATAGAATACAATCAGGTCTAGAGTCTACTATATTATTGTCAGAAATAAATTTTGCTTGCCTTTAGTAAAATATTTAAAAGGCTTAAATTCCAGTCACAGCATAAGAAGGGATAAGTAGACAGAAATAATGCCCAGACTTAAAACAAATGTCTGTGTGGGGTTGACCAATGGTTAGCTCAGTCCAAATAACATATCTGACAAGAACATCAGATCACAGTCACAAGAAAGTTGCTCTTTGGAATGCTGGCTTTGAAATATTAATAATATGGCCCTAAATATCCTTACTTTTCCCAAAGGATCCATTTATCAACTTCCCAAACTAATCTTTATGTAATTTAACAGTGCTTGTGAATAACCAGACAAAATGGGAAATTCTGTGTTCTTTGCTCACCTACACAAGTCTTCATGTCTTCAGATGCCATGAATCCATCATAACACAAGCACCTGTACTCCCCGGGTATGTTTGTACACTGACCGCCATCACAGATATTGGGGTTATCTTCACACTCATCAATGTCTGTAGAGAAGAAAACCAACGATAGCATGCTGTTAATACTAGTTCTATTATTAAGTGGTGAAAAAGTTAACTGAATCAAGTCCAATAAACTCAGCCTATTTGCATAAGAGAATTAGCTCTCAAATCCAAACGAAGCTTTAAATTATCCCATCAATTTATCCCAGGTAAAAAAGCAGAGAACCATTTTCAAGATTTACAACACGCTGTTTAGCGTCAAGCTCCGCACCTTCTTCGAAATCCATTATTTAATTAGCAATCTTATCCCTGACATCATTTGATCATTTAACAGTAATTGTGAATTTTATTTTATTTTCCTCATTGTCAAATTTAAATGCCTAAGGTCGATCATCTTCTGGTTTACTGATACTGTAAAGGGGAAGCTTGCTTAAAATAAGCATATCTACTTAAATGCACTTTCAGTAAAAATATATTTGTATCATTTTCAACATTTAACTTTTATAGTCAAATTTCTAAGGTTTTCGGGGGAGATTTTTCTAGATATGATAAAGTAATTTTGATCCCTAAACCCAAGTTCTCTTCTTAACCGAAACCAAAATGAAAACCAGTCTCACCAACCTCCTTTCTCAGCTCTAGCTGGAGACATGGCTCTTCCAGCCCAGGATGATACAATAGGAAGTGTGAATTTGAGCAGTGGTTCTCAAGTTTTAGCACGTATCTGAATCACTTGGAGAACTTGTGAAAATAGATTATTGGGATCTATCCCCAGAAGTTTCTGATTCAGTAGGTCTGGGTGGGGCCCAAGATTTTGCATTTCTAACACATTCTTGGGTGATGCTGATGCTTCTGGTCGGGGGAACACACCCCGAGTAGCCCTGAAGTGAGTGAAAAGATCAGATTCTTCAAAACTGTATCTTATACTCCATGTGCCAGGAACTGTGCAAAGTGCTGTATGCATTCTCCCACACAGGCAATCTGAATCCCATCTTACAGATGAGGAATCTGATGCTCAGGATCTTAATGAAGGACGCATAGCTAAAATGTGTGACAAAACAAAATTTTGAACTCAGGACTGTCTGACTACAAAGTCTGGGCCCTGAACCGCTCTAAGTGTGGACCTGTTACTGAGAATTTCACAGGAGGCTAAAACCTACTCACCAGTGCATGACCTCTGGTCGGGCATTAGTGCAAATCCCGGCTGACAGCTGCATTCATAGCTGCCTTCAGAGTTTGTACAGAAGGTCTCACAACCACCGTTCATTATGCTGCATTCATCGATGTCTAAGAAAAAGAAAAAGAAAATCACCTTTCTTTGTGTCTATGATCATGGCACGGGTTTAAAGTTTCCAATGTAAAACAAAACAAAACAAAAACATCCTAGGGCAAATGGAAGTCATTGCATCATTCCATTCCTTCAACAAATATAAAGTACAAACCTACTATGTGCTAGAGAGAAGAATCTAATCGTGAATGAAATAGACCCTATCCCTACCTTCATACTGCTTATGTTGCAGCCTGGGAGTTAGACGAACAATCAGTTACACGATACCTGGGGTGCCACATGCCAGGTAGGATCAATGCTAGGGCTAAAGGAACAATCCCAGTTATGATAATGGGCACGTGGATGAAATTCTCTGGGTCACATATTCAGTTATAAACTTGACATTCAATTTAATTGGCTGAGGTCCCAATCCTTTTCAAGAACCTGAGTTGGAATTCTGAGTTGTCCTGGGCCATGTTTCAGAAAAATATGGGCTAATTTATGGCTTTGGGTGAAAACCATGTAAGACTTGGCAGTTCCACATGATGTACACCCCAAACCAGGCAAAAACTGGCAGTTTTTACAAAGTTTCACTTTGACTTTGGGCACAATAAACCCAGAGGGCTTTCTCTGCCACTCTTCCCAGCACAACTACTCCTACAGAGGGCCAGCCACAAAGCAAAATGCTTGTCCCACAAAACCCCATCTTTAAGGAGTGCCAGACCTGGCCTCCATTTCAATGCAAGGTATGAACAGAACATGGTCTTCTTGCCAATAATTATTCTTTGAAATCTCCTAAGCTGATCTAAGCCACCTAAGGGCAGACGCCATACCCTCTGTTTTCTGTCTTTCTCACCAAACCCAAGCTTCGTTAATTGCAGGTGTTTAGCACTCACTTGCTGATTTGCCTGGGTTATGCACGTGCATAAACAAAGCCTGCGCTACCGTTCCTTCTTCCAAGCAGCCAGGCTCAAATCAGGCTTGCTAGAGCTAAAACATTTCAGATCCTTCATTTAAACGGTTCTTTAAACAGACAAGGGAGGTGAGATCCAAAGATCATGAGCCACTATGAAAAGAATTTTACTTACAGGAAAACAAGGAAGATGAAGTAAAAGTAACTAGTGATGAAAACAGAACTCAGAGAACATTGTTGGAGTGTTTTTAGAAAGAGACTACGTGAAAGAAAATATAAAAGAGAAGAGAGCACTTACCCACACAGAACAGCCTGTCGGGGGTCGAATGATAGCCGGGGTTGCAGGCACACTGATACTTCCCTATGAGGTTCACGCAACGGCCATTGGGGCAGAGGTTCGCACTCAGCTCACACTCGTTGATGTCTGTTTAGAAAATAAAAATAACAAGCATCCAGCCAGAAGCTTCTGACTGTGGCAGAGATGTGGGTTGAACAACTGACCAATAAGTGGTCTGAAAATCTTCTTCCTTACCTATACATGCTGAGATGTTGGGGGACAGCTGATGACCAGGAGGACATTCGCAGCGGTAACTTCCCTCGGTGTTTAGGCAAACGCCTCCCCGGCATAGGAGAGGATCTCTCTGACACTCGTCGATATCTGCAAAATGACGATGACTCATGTGGAAGATAGTGGTGGTGTCCTGCCCTGGGCCCCAGACCAGTGCACTCCTCAGTGCCCCCAGTTGCTGGGATTCCTAGCTGCTCAGGGCTCACAGACTCCCTTCTTGGAGAACGGCTGTCCACCTCACTCAGAAATGCCCTCAAATGTTGGGGGCTGCCTGTGGCTGACAAGGGAGTATACAATCTGGCCTGGCCAAAAAGGCGGGACAGCTCTTTGATACCATGCACATTCCAGAATCCCCTGTGGGATCAGGTTAAAGCTAAGAGGCCTCTTGCCCTGCCCTAAATTACTTCCCTCGCTTCTTTACAGCTTCTTCCTTAAAAAAAAAAATCCCGATCTCAGGCTTCTTTCTAGGGAACCTGATTTAATGCAGCCAGCTTAATCAATCTCTTTTTCTAGAAATGTTGGACAGAAACCCTATAATAATGTGACCTCTAATACAACTAATGTTTGAACTGTTTCTCTTCCCTGGGGCATCTCTTTCAGATGTTAAACTCGCTTCTCTGGGACCCATAACTGGTGTCCTAGGTCACCACCAATCCACAGCAAGAATGCCCTCATGTGGGCGCCTGGGTGGCTCAGATGGTTAAGCGTCTGCCTTCGGCTCAGGTCATGATCCCGGAGTCCCGAGATCGAGTCCCGCATCAGGCTCCCTGCTTGGCAGGGAGTCTGCTTCTCCCTCTGACCCTCCCCCACTCATGTACTCTCTCTCTCATTCTCGCTCTCTCAAAATAAATAAATAAAA